TGTTTTCAAGGATCCTTAATTTTGAATATGTCCGCACGACGGTTAACTCTTTTTACGGGTTTGGTTTAAAAGTCAAAATCTCATGTGAATAACTCTGTAATAGATTAAAGCTGGAAAAACTGTTTCTTTCTGGGTTCGAACCACAGACATTTTGCATGTTACGAAAACGTGATAACCACTACACTACAGAAACAAGTGCTGCGTAACTCCATCTCGGTAAAAGATCCAAAGTGTGGTGAGGCCCACTTTTATCTATACGCAACATTGCATTGCCGATTTTGTTGAAGGGAACATCAAGATTCTTACACTCTTGTAAATGACGCTTTTCTTTGGAGTGGTAACTGGTCACATACTACTATAGGAGCAGAGTAGGTTCCACTGAAATTTGAATTCAGATCACTGGATTCAAATTCCAGAGTGCTAACCACTACACCACAGAACCGTAGAACGCCTCTTTTGTTGAAGGGTTTTCAAGGATCCTTAATTTTGAATATGTCCGCACGACGGTTCACACTTTTTACCGGTTTGGTTTAAACGTCAAAATCTCATGTGAATAACTCTGCAATAGAAATTACAATCTGTTTCGAAACCAGACAGAAATATCTTGTCCAGCTTCTATCTATTACAGAGTTTTTCACATCGAGATGAGATTTTGACTTTTTAGACCTACCATGTACACAACGCTCATACTGGCATATTCAAAATCAAGGATCCTTAAAACCCTTAAACAAAAGGGGCTTTTGAGGGTACCATGGTTTAATGGTTAGTACTCTGCACTTTAAATCCAGCGAACTGTGTTCTCGTCTCAGTATAGAGCCTGCTTATTTCCTTTAGTAGTATCTGACCAGGTATTACTCCAAAGAAAAGCGTCACTTGAAAGGGCGCAAGCATCTTGATTTTAATGTTATTTCTTAGATTACATGGGAAGAGTCTATTGAGCATGTTTAAAATTATCTAAATACATTGAAAAATGATCATATAACTGACATTATGCTGTAGCTTAACCGTTCTACACAGGCAGGCAGTCTAGCAAAGGCCGCTGGTATGCCATAGTGCGACACCTGGCATGGCAAGGAATTGTTAAGGAAGGTCGAACAGGCTGTAGAAAAACTTCATCCTACGCCTTAATCATATATACACTACATAGCTAGAAAAAGGACAACCACTAAACCTATTAACACCAAACTCCACACCCAGCCAATTACCCAATGGTTTCAAGGTTCAATGGTAAGCACTCTAGACATTGGTTACCCAGATTTTAGTTCTCATTTTAACCTTCAACTCATTTATGGTGTGTCAATGTAATTCCAGACCATGCTTTTGAACAACTTTCCTGTGCACATCCAAGAGCAGGTCAATTTAAGTGAGGTTGTTCTTCAAAAAGGGTTTGACTCACTGTTGTAGAAAAATTTGCATCCAGAGACTGATGATTGTCACTCAGAATCAGCTTTATTTTAATCTTGCAAGAGAGAAGGATTTTACAACATTGGAGATGTGCTCAGTACTGCTGCCAAATCATTCTGACTAGACAAAACAAAAGTTGTCCTTATAAGCTACAACAGTTTTCAAGGTAACTCCCATGAGACCCAGAGAGACGAGGTCCTGCCTGTTCTGATGTGCTTTTGAGCAACAAACACATGCAAAGGAAAAAAAAACAATATAACATAACAATGATGAATACAAAGAGTAACACATATGCAATAGTCTTTCCCCATCTCTTGTAATTCTTCATTTTGGAAGTTTTGGGGCTCTTCTCGTCCAAGTACTCCTTTTAACAAACGTTGCACTGCCCAAGGGATTATTATGCCCAAGGGATTATTATGCCCTTGTAAGAACAGTGTTCTTCACCCACCTTTTCAATCACTCTCCAGTGATTAGCTTACAGTTCGTAGCCTTGTGGTGGGCCGCTGTCCTCACACATTAAGCAGGAGATGATCCTGATAAAAGATTCTTTGGATCCTGGGGACCAGGAGAATCCAGAGGAGCTGGAACCTTTTTGCAATGCGATGCATGTATCCACCTGATTCGCTCTGCCACCTTCACAGCCGTGTGGGTGACCAGCAGGATCTGAAATGGTCCTCTCCAGTGCCTGGACTTCCAGTGTTTCCTCCTAAACTCTCTGACCAGAACCCAGTCGCCTGGCACCAAAGAATGGAGGGGAGATGTCGCTTTCACCGTCTGTGAAACTTGAGAAAGCACAGTGGACAGGTTTTGACAATAAGACAACATCTTATCTTCACATAAAGATGTGGAGGGCAATGGTCTTGGCAATGTCCCCATGCCCAAATTTGGAGGTCTGCCAAACAGTACCTCTAAAGGAAGGAGGTTTACTTGTGCTCTTTGCCTCATTCTCATATAAGTGAGCACAATAGGCAGGGCCTTTGTCCAAGGTAAGCCAGTTTCTTCACAACACTTGGCTAATTTTAATTTCAAAGTCCCATTTTCACGTTCCACTGCGCC